GTTTTTTTTTTTTCAATAGTTTTATTCATTTCAAACAGGCCAGATCCGGCCTGTGGGCCGTAGTTTGCCCACGGCTGGGCTACCCAGTGGGAGCTATGAGGAGATCTGCAGATTCCCCTTCCTTGTTTGGGGTTTGGAGGTGCCCTAATGAGGCCCAGCTGTGAAGCAATGCAAGCTGCTATGGGGCCTTGGGCCTTCTCTTGGAAGTTCTGTGTCTGTCTGGCCCAGCTGCAGATTGTTAGGTAATTTTCAGATTACAAAGGGCCAGGGCATTCATATGCAAAAGCCTCTGTCGCAGCTTGGGTGGGGCGGGGTCTCAGGGTATCACCAGGGCGGAGCCAACCGCAATGGCTGCCAGTCTGCTCTGCCTCGGATAGGTCCCGGGGGTCTGTGTCCCGCAGCCCCGTGCAGGAACAATGACTGCTGCAAGCACCTCTGCGAGAAAGCTGTCCTCACGTTCCTGCCGGATGCCAGACAGTCCAGTTTCTCTCAGTTTGAGTCTGGGTCCCTAAATTCTCACCCGGACCTAGAGTTCAGAGCAGTCGGGAGCTTGTTTCTCCCTCCCGATTGAAAAAGACAACAGCATACCCAGCTGCCAGCCCCTTTTGCCCGACTCCTTACCTCCACACTTCCACACCTCTGCACCTCCTACCGGACTCAGTGTGCTTTTCTCTTTCCTTCTAGTTGTAGAATTTCCACTCAGGCAGCCTTCCCGTGGTTCTGGATGGTGTTCATTTTGTCTTTTAGTTGTAGTTTTAATGTGGTTGTGCGTGGCAGCAAATTCAGGTGTTTACCTATGCCGCCATCTTGGTTGTCTCCTCATAATGCCATATTTTAAAAGTGTTTTAAGTAGATGAATCTCTGCTGTTCCAGGAGTAGTAAGTACTCTTTTAAGTGCTTACCAAAAGAAAAAAAAAAAGTTACCTATTAGCTATGAGGTGATGGGTATGTTAATTATCTTGATCTTGCTAATCATCCTACATTGATATGTATATCAGTTCATCATGTTGTATACTTCAAATATATCCAATTGTATTTGTCAATTACTTCTCAATAAAAATATTTTTTAAGTGTTTATCTATTTGAAGAAGATAGATATTTTGCTAACAAATTGGATCTAACCTACTTACTTTGGACTTGATAAAGCATCAGGCTTTGTAACCATTAGGTACTTCACATGGTACTGCTAGTTGAAACCTTTGAAAATACCATTTGTCATTAAGGTGAATGTTTTGTTAGAGCTAAAAGTTTTATTTATCCTGTCATATTAAGTATTTTTAGTAAAAATGCATACTAGTGTGGATAACTAGACTACTATTTTACTTCTCTAAGGAAAGCTGACATTGCTCTATTTTTCTTTGGCTCCTTAATAAAGTAGTCAAAATGGATTACTTAGTTAAACAAGAGCATAAGAACATATGAAACTTAATCTATGTTTGCTAGGAAACAATCCTCTGTAAGTTTCTTGCATTTTTACATGTCTCTGAGCACAGGTACTGACAGCTTTTGTTCTGGACTTTTTGAGGGTGTTTGTATAGGAAACAATCTTAGAAGACAGATCGTTTCTTTGTCCAAGGCTGAGGGCTGACTTAGTTGCCATCTGAAGTACTAAAAATAATGTTCTTCCCTTCCTGCACTGGAAGCAATGAGTGGGCAGGTTTGCTAGCAACCAACCCCCTTAGACTAGTAAGATTGGTCTTTGTGAGCTTGAGGTTCCTCAGCTGTGATACAGTACCACTGTATGCAGCTTCTACCCTCAGCCTATCCACATTGCCCATGTGGGATTTGGGGGGCAAGAGGAAACAATGAAGCCCTAGCTGGTTTCGGTTGGTGGAGAGAGTGTTGGACTGCGGACTGAAGGGTCCTAGGTTTGATTCTGGTCAGGGGCACATGCCCTGCTTGTGGGCTCAGTCCCCAGTGCGGGGCGTGCAGGAGGTAGCCGATCAGTGATTCTTATCATTGATGTTTCTATCTCTCTCCCTCTCCCTCTCCCTTTCTCTCTGAAATCAATAAAAATATATATATTAAAAAAAAAAGATGCCCAAACCTGTTTGGCTCAGTGGATAGAGCATTGGCCTGTGGACTGAAGGGTCCCAGGTTCGATTCCAGTTAAGGGCATGTACCTTGGTTGTGGGCACATCCCCAGTAGAGGGTGTGCTGGAGGCAGCTGATCGATGTTTCTCTTTCATTGATGTTTCTAGCTCTCTATCCCTCTCCCTTCCTCTCTGTAAAAAATCAATAAAATATATTTTTAAAAAAAGAGAGGAACCGATGAAAACATGAAGCTCATGCTGCCTACTGTTTTCTGAGTAATAAAGTTCTATGTCTCTGACCTAGGAGTTTAGTGTCTTCTGTCAAGATCCATGCAATTATAGAGGTTAACTTGTTAGCTTCCAAGTGGGGTAAAATGTTAGGCCCTTCACAGTTCAGACATTGTTCTGCTACATTTATTACTTAATTATATTTAATGCCCTTAATAATTTCTGCTGCACATAAAAAAAGTTTTCCTGTTTTCCTTGATTTCAATAATCATATGCTGCAAACTGGTAGTGTCTTTATCATAGAATATTCATACTTATGGTGTTAAAGAAGACTAGGGTGTTATTGGTTTTTAATGGGGCTTACATTTTACTCTTTTACGCTTATGGACCCTTGTTCTTGTGGACAGGTTCTGTTCTCCAAATACACCTTGTCCTTCTCGGCATCTGCATCTTTTTTTCCTTTAACCTATGTCATCCAACATCATGCATAGCAAAATCTAGATTAGATCATACCATGTATACATGATTCCTTTCTCCTAGGATCTCCTATCTAAGTTTTGGACAGAGGGAGAATCACAGATTTATTTTTGGTGGACCTTATTCCACGGTAATAAAAATATTTTAAGTTTCACTTTAATGACTACATATATAAAATATTCTGCATTGCCTAGATTTCCACCTCCTCTGCCTGCATTTACACTTGTGTTCATGATCACTTTGGCCCCAAGTGATCACACAACATTGCAAGATTTAACTTTCAATGCAATATTTTTCAAATTTAGGTCATTGGACCCCTGAGTTTTATGTACCAATCCCCCTTATTCCCCAAAATTAGCACATAAAAGTGAGCACAATAAAAGACCCAAGGGTTAGAGAAGGAAGTCCGGTTGTTAAAACATTTGTTGCATGTCATCTTGCTTCCATGTGTTATTTGAAATGCTTTGTTCTCATTGCTGATTTCACTGTCAAGAGTTGATTATTAAATTGAATTAAAAAAAATAAATTGAATTTAATTTCTTACATGTTAGGCGCTAGATATACAAGTTCTAGTTATTTACGAGTAATGACACAATTTTCACTACATTTATTTTTGGTTCATTATACTGGGATTTAATGCATTTGTGGACCTGCCTTTTCATCCGTATTCCTTAAAATCCACAGCCTAATGTGCCTTGAAGTTTCAAGTTCGATTTAACCCCTTATTATCCTTCATTTGCACCTTGTACTTTTCTTACGCTGTTTTCTCTCTTTGAGATACCCTCTTCCCTTGTTCATGATCCTCCTTCCTCCACCTGCCTTCAGGTTATGGCTCAGATGTCTCCTCCTTTAAGAAACCTTGCCTAACTCCTCTGCTATAGTCTTTCTCTCTGCTCAGTTTCCTTTCTTCTCATATCTTTTTCTTCCTATCTTGTCTTCTTCCCAAAAAAGAAAATTAAAGATGAATGCCATTTACTAATAGTAAAAATCAAATTAAAAATAAATAAGAAAATAGAATTTAAAAAATAATGCTAGTAAACCAAAGATATGTTTGCTTTATTTTTCTTAAGGTATTTCATTCTGTATTATAGTATTGTTTATGCATATCTTTCAGCAGTTTGGGAACATTTTCTGTATCAGAATACTGTTTATATGATAGTTGTTGAAAATAAAATGAGTATGATACAGATATATAAACTGTTTAGTACACATTCTGGATCTATGGATTTTTAGGGAATTT